GAACGCTGCCCTGCATTCTCCGTGACTTCGTTAGGATAACACAAGTTAGCGCACTAGTATTTACTTGTGCAGTTGGCTCTCGCTGAGCATGGCATCGAAACGTTGGCTTTTGATGAGTTTTAACATGACTTGCGATCTGGAAACTTAAAAAAAAAAAAAAGCACCCAAATTGCAAGTAGGAACGTTTAGAAAACGTGGATTGCGTTACTCATAAATAATGTAATGCCACCCAGCGAGGCTGCAGCTACAGAAATCGGGGAATTCACGATTTCCGCCATAGGGAGCTCAATTCTTTAAACTAACATTTAAATATAATCTTTCCTGTCTATTTTTTAAAATCTAGAATTAACTTACTTCTTGGTAGCGATAAGATTTTGAGCTCCACAGGCTGGGCCTCTTGAGTCCAAGCAGAGGCCAGGGGCCCTCTGAAAGGGAATCTTTTTTTTTTTTTTTTTTTCCCCCTCCATCCTCTCCCCCCTCCATGGAGAGCTTTCAGGAGCTCAGCCTGAGGATAGGATCTGTTAGACAAATCTGTCTTGTGTTACCGAGCCAGAGTTTAAATAATATTTTACCGGTAATGTCCTCTATCATGTGTTTGAGGCTGTTCAGCCACCCATTCAATTAGAGATTTAGAACTGTTTTATAAACAACATTAAAACTATTAAGTAATCATCTGTTAATCTTTTTTGGTTTTACAATGCCGAAGCCACAGTAGGAAAGAGGATAATTTTTTGCCAGAAGCTTGGTACTGATGTCTCTTTCTGCAAGGGAAGGATCATGTAAGGAAACCTGTATTTTCTATTAGCATCTTGCTAGAAATCGGTATCTTGCTTCGCGCTGTAAAACTGTCTTGCCTGCCAAAGGCTTCAATTTTCCGTAAAATGGTTTGTTGAAAGTATTTGCAGGTTTCTGTGCTTCTGCTCTTTCTGCTCAGGCTTTATTCCGATTAGGACTTCGTTTGGTTGCTAGGTAGATTCAAGCCTGTGTTTTGGACGCGTGCCAGATGTGTTCTATACTGCTGGCTGGATTGCCGTAGAAATTACAGTTGATTTTTGTTGTGTTTAATCTTCATTAGAACATCTATAATTCCACAGGAGAACAGATTCCGATTCAGAGCTCATTTAAACCATTAGAGGGACTTCCATACTGGTCTGGAGTATGATCTGACTCGAATGGGAATTTTCACGTTGTGGATCTGAATACTGACAACTGCAAATTTCCGCCGTTTTCTGTTGGAGTAAATTGTAAATCACAAAAACCATCAAATGGTTCTGTTGGCGGAGGTGCCACATAATCGCACTTGGAATTAATTTCACGTGCGTGTCTCTTTAATGTTACTGCGAACTTTAGCTCTTTGAAGGAGTATTGGTATGAGCTTTTTCGAAAGAATTTCATAAACAAGACGTTTCAGCAAGCATTTTTTTTAACTTTTTGAAATACTAGTTTCCTCACTGAGCCCTCTAAAATTGACAACTCCTTTTTTTCAATCCCTTTTTGGGTTTTGTCGAAGAAATCTTGGATTAAACATGAGCAGAGCTCCTCAGAATACCTTCTTCCATCTCTCATCAGCGAGCTCCGTGGTTATGGGATGTAGGTTATCTGGCGTGTTACCCAGCCCGGGGGCAGACACGGGTACCAGCGTACGCGCCTGCTGGGCCGCGGCAGGGCTTCGAGGTACCCACCTCTCAACGAGGCAGCGGTGTTGGGAGCAAAGCCCCGTCCTTGTGCACCGTGGGCACTGTTGGGAGATGGAACTTCCCTGTTTTTTTTGTTTTGCAGATATATTTTAAGAGCTTCTGCTCCTACTTGTTTATTGAGCTTGTTCACTCGTGAGAAGAAAAGTCTTCCAACGTTGCTGAAGGATGTTCATAAATAATGACTTCAGCAAATGCTACGAACAATAATTTATAAAATGATATACCTTTAGGTCCTGAAGAGATTATTTTCTTCTGCCTTGCATTATTACAGGTTTAAACGCTTAGTTAAGTATTTTCTCTGCAGGTTTTTCTTTTATGTTTTCTAATGAGTAACTGCACGTTCAGAAGGTTCGAGTTAATTAGTGCTGGATCTTGTATCTTCTCGAAATGTTCTCCCTTGCTGTAGAAAAGCCTTCCAAGGATCTGAAGCGTGGATTTGAGTTCCCGTTTCTGGTTTTATTGTTCTATGTTATAAATCACTTGACTGTCGATGTTGGGGACTTTCCGTAACGTGTTTTATGAATTGAGTACTATTCTGGCACGCTAAACAGATTGGGTTTGTGTTTTTCCTTGGATTTTTGAAGAACACGCTAGGCATATGTCCATATCTGATGCTCTAATGGCAGGGCAGTAATAGTTTCTTAAAGAAGTTTCTCCTCCAAAACTGGTGGGTGCCTGAAGGGCGCAGAGCTGCTGCTCGTCCGCGCGCGCGGGGGCTCCGGCCGTTCCCCATCTGCTGCGGGGTCAGGCCGTCCTGCCCGCAAGGATTTCTGAAACTTTAATGGCTTTGTTTTCACAGCGGTTAAATAACACGAAGGAATAATCAGTCTGCCAGTCACAGTCATTCTGTGCTACTTAGAATAATACTACTTTTAGTATTTTTGGTTCGGGTGTTTATTTCCATTAGCTTGACACAGGACTTAGGCATGAAGTTGAGTGAGTCACTGATACGATCCGGGAGCAGTAGCTGTCCTCAGAGAGCGTCGTTTGTTATTTATGTTTTATTGGGTTTTGAGTCACAGGTTTGAAGCCAGTGACACAGGCTTTCACAACATACAATCTGGCAATTGAGTGTATTTTGAAAGCAGGATATTGTTGAGTGGGTGCTAGCGTATTTGGACAGTGATAGCAGAATTGGATTACGACATGCTCGTGGTTTTAAGTTAATTTGTCCAAGGGAGCGTGTGTGTTGCACAAAATGCTAGCGAAATCAGCTGGCTTTCTGAAAATTACTCCTGACTAGCGTGTAGAAGTGCACTGCTTATTCATTTCTTGGTCGCTTGATTCCTGTTTGCCAAAATCTGGGTTTTAACTTCTCCCAGGAAGAGCTGTTTCCTGAGGAGCCCTGTGCCGTACGGCCGAACAAGTGAGGCTAAAGACCGCCTTTGTCTAACAACTGGTATTTTCTTGTTTTGTTCGCCGCCGTTTTCCAGGGAGCAGAGCTGGGAGGCCTGCTCGCATACTTGGCTTTGGGTTGAGCATTTCTGTTACGACCCAGGGTTCTGAAGCGCGCCCTGCCTCCTGTTAGTAACTGAATATCGTTCCTCCCTTTCAGGTTTTTGCCCTGGTGCAGTCGATCGCTAGGATTCTGTTAATTTAAGCGAAGGGCTCACCAGCAGGATAGCGTTCATTCCCCTGAAGGGATTTATCTCTTCTCAGTGCTCCCTTAAAACCCTCAGCGTGGTGCAACTTCCAGAGGAGGCGGTGACAAAGATTTCAGCCATAGTGTGTTTCCCTGTTGCATGCGCTCCAGCTTCTTCACCTAACCTTCATAAGGATCGTCTTCGTGCCGACTGTTTCTTCTGGGCTTGCAGATTTTGACAGCTGTTTTTAGTTTTTACATGATTTTTAACCAGTGGGGTGGGAGGAGACAGGGCAGGCCAGGCTATGGCAACCTTTTTAATGTGACCTTTACTTCAGCAGTTCGTTAGCGTTTCCTACAGGTGTGAGCTAAGTGTAAACTATGGCATGTATGTCTTCATAATATGAAGATAAGCTATTGAGTCATTTGCGTCGCTCAAATGTTTAGTAGTAACTTTTTGCATATGCTTATATTCAGAAAACGTATCTGGAGTAAATTGTAGAGCTGCTTCTACTCATGTGACAGTATTAAAATGAAGAAAAAGTTGGAGAGAACAGATGCTTGGAACAAGTTTTGCATAAGCGTAGTCTGCGAGGGTGATTTAAATGATGCGTCTTGTTTTATGTTTTTCTTTTATCTTACGGCTCAAAGCCAAGCCCACTCAGAATTTTTGGGTAGTTTTCTGGTTAGAGCCAGACAAATGTTACAGATGAACTTAGCTTTGATGTTCACCTAGTCTCAGTACATGGTTTCTTTCAAGATAATGAGATTTTTTTTTTTTTTTCCAGGAACGGTGGAGATTAATCAAAAGGCAAATAAAACATTTTTACCAGCACTTGACATTTTAACTCTTCTATGAAAATGAGTGGGCTGGAATTGCTATCTGCGTCACTGAGTAGGAGTAGAGGGGAGAACTTTTAACTAACTTAATCGAATGCTCTGTAAATCATGACATTTGTATGATGAGTAATTTTTTTTAAAACTTGGGCTGCAAAGCATGTTGGTTTTGTTGTTTCTTGACTGGGAAGAGATATTTTTAAGTGGAAATACCAGTAGAAATTCTTGAAAGAGGACTGCGTGTACTACTGTGTTTGGGGTTTTTTTTAAGGCTTGAATAACCCACATCTTGAACTGAGGATTCTGATCTGAACGATGCAAAGTAAATGGAAGAGATAACCAGACGAGCATGTAACACGTATCACTAGACGGGTGCTTTTGACTCAAAATACCCATCTCATACTGCAGACTGTGGTGGTTTCTCTGAGCAGATGTGGGTATTCTTCTCTAACGTATAAGTCCTCAAGGGTTTTACAATCCTGTGTCTTAATCCGAGTCTTTCCTCTTGTGGTCAATAAGCTTTACTGGTGCCATTAGACTGGACATAATGGTTTTACTCTCCATCCATTTTCAGCCGACAAAGTTCAAGAATAATCTGTCTTCCAAGACTAAGCTAATAATGGCAATGAAATTAAGAGTTTATCCCAAATAACATGCACGGGTCCAGACCTGCTTCCATATTTTCGTATCCTGTGGCAGCTTTGTTGTTACTAGGTGTTCAGAAAAGACTTGTAAAACTTTTTGTGTTTCAGTGTCAGACAGGCTTTGCGCAATAATAAAGTGTTACGAGGGAAAGCACACTTTCTGTTGTTGTTTAGGAAGTCTCTGGATTTTATTCATGTTAATCACAGAATCTGAAACTCGGCAGTGGGAAAACAGCGTAGATGTGGGTGGAGGCTCGTGAAGGAAAAATGGGCAAGTGTTCGCTTGGAACTGACAGGGTTAGCGGGCTGTTGGATGTGTGCTCTTCCGTGCAGCTCATTTTCCCTTCTTCCATGTGCGGGCTCGGGTGCCTGCCCAGTCCTCCTGCGGGTTGGTTCTGGAAATTGCCTAAAACTGAGAAAGGGGAAGTCTCAGTGGGGGGACAAGTGTCTGTGCCCGCAAATGCAAGGAGCCTTATGTATTTTTAAGCTGCTGAAATGTAAGTAGTACCTTCGCGACACAGCTTGTGTGTTGTGCTTATCTTCTAACCTGTGATATTTTTTTTTCTTTCGCAGGACCCGTCGGGGCACAGCCCCTACTCATGGTGCCCAGACGTCCTGGCTATGGCACCATGGGCAAACCCATTAAACTGCTGGCCAACTGCTTCCAAGTTGAAATCCCAAAGATTGATGTCTACCTCTATGAGGTGGATATCAAACCAGATAAGTGTCCTCGGAGGGTGAACAGGTAAGACGGTGAAATTTGCCCTTGTAAATTAGACAGATACTGAAATTTTTAAACAGCAGAGGGACCTGCTGAAGTAAATAGAGTCTCTGCGTAGCTTAAAATGTGAGCATTATGCTGTGGAGACCTGTGGGCAAGTTCTCGTGAACGTCTGTGAGGCGGGTCCAGACCTTTCCCAGGTTCTCTTCAGCTCAGCTGGGAGCAGACGCCACGCAGCGGGCCAGCCAGCGCTGGTCACGGTACTTCTGCTGTTTGGCAGCAGCCCCTGTTCTTCAGGGCAGCATAAATACAGTATAGCTGTAGGCAGCTGCCTGTTTTGGTTGCAGTGCTGACTGCTGAATCATTTGAGTTAGCAGGAATCTGCTCCTGTGGGTGTTTTTTTATCCTCAGTTGATGCTGAGATATGCTGCAGCTTTGATTAATCTGAAGGGCTCCCCAGTTTCATTCACTCGGGTACTGTGGTCAGAAGCTAGGGGCCAAAAACCATTGCTGTAGGTAGAGCAGGAGACATCCTTCAGCTGAAAAGCTCCCGGCAGGAGTAGTGGTATGAGAGCACCGCGGACAAACTAGTTTTCCCCTTGTTCATAGAGATTTCCTGCAATCAGCTTAGTACATCTGGAACGATCGGACTTGGTCTGAGCTCCGCCTGTGTCCTTTCTCTGTGGTTAGAGCATTTTGCATAGCACGTTGTATCTCACCTTATCTTCGTGTCCGCTGTGTATTGGGGTCAGCGGAATCTCTTGCTCGGCTACTTTATTTCTAGATTGCTGGTTAAATGCAGAGAATATTTCCATATTCTGTCTCCCTGTTCCTTTAGTGATCCCACAAGCTGTACGTATCAAGGGCTGGACTCTTCAGCCCTAACAGATTGCTAGTACAGTGGGTTTTTTATATGTGGTCTTCGGGTATTTTGTCCTAAACCTCATGAGTTTTGGGAGCCAGAGAAGCCTCCTCAGAAGGAGCAGTTAACTGAAAACCTGACAGTAGAGCTATAACCATTTTTGCTTTTTAAAGATTACAACATTTTGTATTTCCTGTATTTCTTCTCTTCACTGAATTTTTTTTTTTTTTAGGAGTTACTTGTTAGTCTCTTGTGAAATCTTTCATCAGTTAAAGTTCAGGGTAGCTAAAAAGCATTTTTGCCCCCTTCCATCTGCAACTCTTGTTTTTTTACGTTTAAACAATAACATATAGCTAGGGCCTGATTCTGGCTGGTGATTTTTTTTTTTCCCCCTGCAGTTATGAAGGCTGTATAAATGCCTATATTAAGTATTGATTAAAAGGAAACTAATAAATTGCCAAAATTAGGATATAATAATTCTGTGAGTTAATATTTAATATAATCCTACTGTTACGAAAGGTGAATTTACTGCTGTATTGTTAAATGAAGAATGCTTGTGAAGCCACGCTCGTAGGGATACCAGGAGAACATAAACCCCTCTGCACTGACTTGTATGTCCAGTTCTTTTCTAGGGTGCTCTTGTAACGAAGATGAATGTGATTTCACTTAAAACCTGACTAAACCCACTTTTTAGTCTATTTTAATCAAGCACTGCCATACAACAGACAAAGGGAGACAAAGCTGTAAGAGCTCTGGTTGCTCCAGGTTGTGATTCTGTGTGGTGGGTTGGTACTGAAGCAACGGGAGAAACTACAGATGTGTGAAAATAGTGCATTTGAAATAAGCTGGTTTAAAATAGCAACTAAATTTTATTTCAGATTTAAAAGGAAAAAGAGAAGTCCCTTTGGTCTGTCCTGTGTGTAGGGTAATTTCAAGCTTGCTTCCCAAACCAGAATTGATGTTGGTCACAGCTTGCTTTAGTTGGTTATGCTTTAGATAAATGCTGTGTCTTCTCAAGTTTTCAGTTCACGTGGAGAGAGGTAAAAGCATTTGGTTTGAGTTTGTAAGGTAACTCGGTGTGGAATGGTCGCTATTTTTGCTTACCTAAACAATTGTGATTTCCAGAAGAGCGCGGTTGCAGCTGAGACAACTTTTCCCACCTTTTGCAAGGCTCGGATCGCGTATCTAACCGTTGCTTTTGACCCTTGTTAGATTGTGTGAGGGTGGGTTGTTTCCTAAAAGTGCTTTTTGTGGACTGGAGTTAAATTTCAGTGGGGTTTTTGAAGTTTTCTTATTCATAAATCTAGCTGTTTAGGTCAGATGCGTGTGTAACTGTCCAGAAGCTCATCGACTTCCTATTCCTCCAGTAAACACAGTCTTGCTTTTCCTTGTTTGTGTTACCAGCTGGTAGAAGCAGTTGTCTGGTTTTTGTCAAGGTAAACGGAGAAGACTAATTGAACGCAGGCAGCAAACCTAATGAGTTGTTTTAATAGTCAAATGTTTTCAAATGAAGGACTAAATTTGCTTTCAAATTTGACAGCAACGCGGTATGTAAATTACGAATCCTAATATAAACTGTAGTTTAAAATCTGAAAGCTGAGGGTAAATCTTGCATACGTACTGGATTTTTCTAAGTAGGGAACTGTGAAATTGGTTATTTAAAAATACTACTACTTCACCAACTTTCATCTGTGTAAAAAAAAATATGGCAGATGTTACTTAAAAACTGCAAGAGCTCGTATAAATGAGCCCAATAAAAGAGTTTAATGTCTGCTGAGTAAATGACTTCGGTGTGTTGTGGATTACGCAGAGGAGAATGGATTTCATTAGTCTAAATTGAAATCAGTGTACTGAAATACCTGCTTTGAAGAAATTCCCTTAGAAACTGTTTTTCCCTTTCCCTTGCATGCTGCAATAGTTATTTCTAAGAACTCCGTGGATTTACACAGACTCAGCTATTCTGAAATAGTTTCTGACAACACCCTGTCTGCATGCTTGTATTTGGAATAAATAGTGGGTTTAGTTCCTGAATAGCTGCTGGATTTTTTTAAATTCACCTGCACCTTTATGAGCTGTAGAGAGGCTTAAAAATCTCGAGTGAGTGTCTTCTGTTTCCTTTTCCCTTTCCTTTGTAGCAGCGCTCTTTCCCCGGTGCCGCTGTAGGCGGAAGGTAAATGCCGCCGTGCTTGGGAGCGTGCCGTGCGTGCGAGACGGGCAGCAGAGCTGCACCTGGGAGTTGGGTTTGACAGAGCCTCTTGCTTTCTCCCTCCCGCCCCGACTCTTCACCGCTGGCTTTTATCCCTCTGCTTTTGTCACAGGTTGTGTGACAATAAGCTGGCACCGGTGGAAGTAGATGTTTTGCACGCGTAGCCCTGTGCGTAGCGTTACGGGGGGGCAGCGCCCCGGTGCGGGAGGGGGTTTTGGGATGGGGTGGGCTTGTGCGGGAGCACAGTTGAGTAGTACGTAGGTATTTTGAAATGGCTTAAGTGTATTGATGTGCTTTTAGCCAATGGAAGAACTTGGATCCCGAGAGACCGGTAGCGTAAAGAACTGTGAAATGGAGAATTTCTCTTCCATTTCCCCCAGTCCCAGCTGAGAGGTGAAAGTGCTGCTGCTAGTTTTGCTTGAAGAGGAAGTCAGTATTTATCTCCTGAAGTACTGTAGGCTGACATTTCCTGATCAGGCAAGAGTATACTAGTAAGCTTCTGCTTTGCAAGAATGCTACTTTGCATATGCATAAGAAAGGTGTTTAATTCCTGTAGAATAAGGGAGTTACGTCGTGTCAAGTTAAGACGCGGTGGTTGTGCCACTGAAAGCAAGGAATGCCCAAAGAATTCAAATCCTGGAGGCATGTTTCAGTTAGAGGCACTGCAAAAGTTGCTTTGAACCTGATATATCTACTGCTTGTGACAAGAAGCGTTTTTTTATGTAAGACGAAAATTTTACGGTGTTTTTTCCAAGCGTAATTTCAGTGCTTGTATCAGGTTACCGTTTTCTTTATTGCCGTCAACTCCTAATGAAGGAAGTCAGGAGAATCTATAATTGTGTGCAGATTTGATCAGGCTTTTACTCGATTTTGTTGTAAAAACTCTGAGAGAATTTAAAACTAAGACATTTTTGTTAGGGTACCTCATTTCTGTGTAGGCAGAAACCAGAACTCTGATGAACTGGAGCACAGATGACTGCAGAACGTTCCTAGGTAGACAGTACGGTTGACTCCAGGCCCCGGGAGCTGGCGTGGCTTCCAGTTGTGAGCTTGCACTAGTTTTTCCTAATCCTAGCTTGGGGGTTTTCTTCCAAGGTACGTGTGTCCTTGTTTTCTGTAATAAACGTTATACAAAGGCCTCGGTCGTTTCTAGGACTTTCTGAAATTATTTCAGTGTTTTCTAGTATTTGAGCATTTGCATTATGACTTTCTTCCTTAGTGTTTATCTTTTTTTAGTTAAATTATGTGCAGTACCTTTTTGGAATACCAGTGGGTGTTCTGTAATTCACTTGAGTAATATGTTTGTTGAAACTACTTCAGCAAAACACAGGGTGTGTGGGAGCCAGTTCCAGTCTGATACTTCTTTGAAAACATCTTCAATGTGAATATGTCAACTTTTCTAGGGAGGTGGTGGACTCAATGGTGCAGCATTTTAAAGTGACAATATTTGGGGACCGCAGACCGGTTTATGATGGGAAAAGAAGCCTCTATACAGCCAATCCGCTTCCCGTGGCCACTACTGGGGTAAGATAACGGGGAGAAAAAAGGGTACTTGTATCAGCTTCGTAGGAAAGAAGAAGAAACAAGCCCAACTTCTAATATGGCTGGGTTCAGAAAAACTGGAAGTTTCTTACAATAGCTGTAGAGAAATGAAGTCCTTCTACTGTATCTTCTGCAGATTCCAGTGTATGTAAATGTGCATGTACGATTGCATTCAGAACCTCCCCTGGAATTCAGTAGCCTCTTTCTACAGCAAAATCTATTAAATACTCAGTTTTACAGACCGTAATACGTTATCTTACAATGAAGTACTATTAAAAAAAATCAAACCACAGTTTCTCTGGAATGAAGAGTTTTCTCATTCAAGATGACAAAGTTATGTGATCCTCTTCTGCTTGGTGAGGACCCGTGTCTCTTTATTTTGTGCATTTGATAACGTACTTCCATCAGAGGTGCTGTGTCCTAAATATCTGAGGTTTTAAGTCTCTGGCCCAGTTATAGGAAGGAGTGGAAACTCAAGGCTACCCGACTTGAGATTAAAACACTGGTGTTTTTTTTTCCCCTCCCACCCCGACTCAGGTGGATTTGGATGTGACATTACCAGGAGAAGGTGGAAAAGATCGTCCCTTCAAAGTGTCAATAAAGTTTGTTTCTCGGGTGAGCTGGCACTTGCTGCATGAAGTTTTGACAGGAAGAACCTTGCCTGAGCCTCTGGAACTAGACAAACCTATCAGCACTAATCCTGTTCATGCTGTCGATGTGGTGCTACGACACCTACCCTCCATGAAGTAGGTTCACTGTCTTCCTGCAGTCTGTCTTTACCTGAAGTATCCCCACTGGGAGACCTTCATCCCTGTTTCTTCACAGGTGAAAATTAAAAAAAAATAAATTATCATTTCCCCTTACGCAGCACAGCCGGTTAGCTGAACTGGGGAGACTGGAGCTCGTTGTGTAGAAGTGTGTGTTTCTGTAGACATTTAAACCCCAAAGCAGGTGATGTATTTGAAGAGATCAAGAAACAGGAGACACTTACAATAGACCTTAATTGAAATACTGAGAGATCACAGCATGCAGTAGCACTGCTGTCATGTGTTCTGCTCAAGTTGAGCCAAATGTCGTGCACTTGATGGCAGTGGCTGTTGAAAAGCATGAGTGTCTCTAATTCATTGATATATCATCAACAGTGCATGCTTCTCAGGTTGAGACTAGATACCTGTGCCCAGGCTGGACCGGGCTTTGAGCAGCCTGGGCTAGCGGCAGGTGTCCCTGCCTGTGGCGGCTGGGTTAGAACTAGTGATCTTTAAGGTCCCTTCCCACTCGAGCCGTCCACGATTCTCTGTGTATGGTCTGATCAAATATTCCCGTGTAAAAGGTGCGAAAGGCTGGGTTTGAGGGTCAGTCCAGTACACACAGTGCTGTCGTACGGAATCCGCTGTGACGGAGATTATACTTTCTTGAAGTGGAAGATGAGGAAGGGTAAGTTAACTTAGTTGTGGATTTGTTGTGAAAACTGGAAGTGGTTGTGCATTGCTAAAACTAGTAAATGTCTGTCTTGATTTTCAAAACGCTGCAATGGGAACAGAAGCATTCAGTGTATATTGTTCATGCTTGATTCTAGGCGCAGATTCCTGGTGCGCAAAATTCCAAAAAAATAACAATACTGTGTGTTTATAATCTTTATGATGGAATTTTTTTAATTTGGAAAGCAAAGGCATAAATGTCTGGTCATCTTTTTCACTAGGTATACCCCTGTGGGCCGCTCCTTTTTCTCAGCTCCGGAAGGCTATGATCACCCCTTGGGTGGGGGTAGGGAGGTCTGGTTTGGATTCCATCAGTCCGTTCGGCCTGCCATGTGGAAGATGATGCTCAATATTGATGGTACGTTGGGATAATCGCTTTGCCGTGCAGTCATTTTGCTGGAGTTTGTGGTACCGTGTTTCTGTGTGGGGATAAGTTTCGGTGCCATCTGTGCAGAGAGATTTAGTAAGCAGAAGCCATCTTCTACAGCAATTTCTTAACTCGTATTGTCAATAATAAAGAGTGAAAGTATCTTGGGGTATTTTGCTAGAATTTATATCAGAATAAGAAAACTTTCAAACTTTCTTCGTAGACAAGGGGTTTTCACCTGAAAAATACTTGTGTTTCGTTGCTTGGTTTGAAGATTTAGTGATTGTCTCTTGCGATACCCTGGTGAAACACAACGTTAACTGTGCGGTCAGTCTACCTGAGAAGTTATAACGATGATGATAATAGAGTGAGATTTGTAACGCCGCGTAGGTGTGCATACGTTGGCTTCCTGTTCAGCCAGTTTGAACCAGACCTATATGGCAAAGGCCACCTAGAAATCACAAGTATTTTCTTCTGCATTTGTCATCATGTCAGGGTTTCAACAGAAATTTACCTGCCAAATTAAAGAAAAAAAATCTATGTAGGAAGGAGGAGCCTTGCGTAGCTTATTTTCCTACTTAATTTTCTGTATTGGTACATCTGCAGCGACACAGGCAAATTGCTTAAGATGTGTCTCCAGCTGTCCACGGTAGGTGTTGTTCAGTACTTCCAAGAAAACTCTGTAAAATATATCCCCAACACTTCGGTGAATGGGGCTAATTGAGATGGGCTTTCTTATGCAAAACCAGATCCGCTTGGCACCGCTTTATTAAGTCCCGGATGAATGCGTTTGCGATCAACCGGTGCATGTGTCAGACTCCTTGGTGCTGTCAGCACTCCGACTCTATTTAGATGTTAAACCCCTCTTGAAACATGTCAGTGTTTGAGGTGCAGGTGCTGCCTAAAGTTTTCTCTAATTCATGTTCTGTTCTCACTCTTTGAAACGCTTTATAAACCCGAAGTAAACAGTCTGTCGGGTTTTTTTTTTGAGCTGGGTTGAGCGCTCTCAGTCAGGTTGTGCTCAGTGTCTGTCTTAGAGCATGATAAAGTGTTGCAGGTGCTAACTGAGCTTTCACACTGAAAATCTGCAAGTCCATGTGTTCTGGTTTACCGAAGCTGTGAATGATGCTGATGTGACTTGAGATGGGTTTGTTCTTGTAAAGTTACAAACAGTGGCTGTGGTGCAGCTGTTGATTGGAAAGTGAATGTAAAAATCTGACCAGTCCGAGCAATAAGCGATCCTGGTATCTGCATGCCAGGTACTGAGGTAACTACAGTTCAGGTAGGGCAGGAGTATTAATTTACCCCAGTTTAGGACGCACTGCTCTATTACTTTCTGTGAAGCAAGTTTTTCTTACCAGCATTAGCAAGCGTAGTAGTAACTCTAGCAGGAAACATTTTTTTTCCCATTCTTTCTGTGAATGAGAAACTTAAGAACTTTAAGCTCCAATTTACGGGGCGATCGCTTTACGTCGTGGTTTGAGGCTGCGAAGATTACGTTCAAATCCTGTCGCTTGATTTTTTTGTTGTTGTTGAACTTGTGCGAGGTTCTCTGCAAAATCTGCTTCTCCCTGTGCGGCTGCGGGGCAGGGGGGAGCTCGGTGTGTTCATTCAGCAACGGCCTCCGCGGGGGTTGGCCGGAGTGCGTCATGTGAAGTTGGCAGCCTGCTGAAGTGACGCATGTCTGAAGAATGTTTCATTGTATTAGCACAGAAATGTGGTGGTTTCGGTACATGAGAGCTGAAGAACTAATAAAATGCTTGTCAAGTATTTATTTTCCGTAGCTGCCATCTAAAGTTTTAAATGTAAGGAGTAGTTTGCTTTTTGTTTGAGCTATACCTAGTGCCACCTCACCTTTCGTACTAAAAGGTATCGTTTCAGTTGCTTGTGCCTTTGTCAAGCAGATTGTTTATGGTCGGTCTTCCCTGGAATGGGTCAACTGTCCTGTTTAAAACCAGTATATTGTCGCTTAATGTCATTGTGTCGTTAATACGCAGGGAGGGCAAGAGATTTTTGGTAGAGCAAGGGTTGCACGCGCCACTACACAAACATAATTCGTGTATGGTCACAATAGTGCTTGTGTTTCTACCCATTATTGTTTCGGTAATCGAGCAGATCATCTTATTGACAAAATTATATTGAATAATCTGCTTTTCCTGTTAAGTCTTCAGCAGAGATACGTTAATACCGTCTCTGCTGCAGCTTGGTGCAGAGTCGAAAGAGAATGTCCCTCGGGGATGTTACAGCTCTCTAGAAATAAGTGTTAGCTGGGGGAAAACCCTTTCAAAACCCTGAAGTGCAAAGTAGTTGCAGGATGACTGTGCTGGGGACCGACGTGTCATCGTGGGCCCTACTCTGGCTTTTGTGTACTACGCTCCTGCGAGGCCTGCTGATCTGTTTTTAAAAACGTGTGCTTGCAGCGCTTGCTTGAGGGTTATGTGGAATTTTAAAAAGCATTTGTTTATATATACACTGCTTCGCAGCATTCTCACTTGGGTTTTTTTACACTTCAATATTTTGCTCTTTGTAGTTTCTGCCACTGCCTTCTACAAAGCACAACCTGTCATTCAGTTTATGTGTGAAGTTCTTGACATTCATAATATTGATGAACAACCAAGACCTCTGACTGATTCTCATCGGGTAAAATTCACCAAAGAGATAAAGGGTGAGTAGAAGCATATCTGTTCTGTCCCAGGTAACGCAGTCAAGTTCGTTCCAAGGGACTTGTTTTAATTGAAAGCCCCCCGGTCAGCGTACATCACAAGGGCCCTGGAAGTGCCAGGACAATTGCCCTGTGCCCTGTCTGTAGTTCCAGTCCTGGGTCAAACAGTGCAGCTCTACACAAGGGAAAGGTTAAAAATGGGATGTGTTCCCAGTGGCTCCAAGAGAAAAAGAGAAATTGTGTTGCTTCTTGCCTGGACGGAGGTAAGTGGCTGTTGCCTACCTGGATGGCTGACCTTTGCTGAGCAAGGCTCGCCCAGGCCATAGTGCTGTTGAAGGTTTTCTGCTGTTTAAATATTGAAGCAAAGTGAAAATTGATTTCAAAGTGAACGTCATCGATTCTTTGAAAGTACACTGTTGCAGTGACTTCTAATAACTGATTGCCTTATGGAAAAACAAGTACCACTTGCTGACTTGCAGCTGAAGGCCAAATTCCATTCCAGAGGAATTGCATAAGCGGGTGGTTTGAGTAGTTCCACTCCATATATGCTACTTCGCTTTGTCTTTTTCCTTGTCCTTTCATTCCAGTGTAATTTGCAGAGAGAGAAGCCTTGAAAGAGCTCAGCTCTTCAAAGCCCTTCCCTTAAATGCTTGTTACTTGCTCCAAAATTAGACTATATCGAAATACCAGACAGCAAACAAAAACGTCTGAACTATAGTCACAGACTGATGCGTTCATAGAAGAGCCATTAATGGAGAAGAAAAAATAAAAAAGAATTATTTTGTAGTTGTCCTAACAAGCCTCCTTTTTACATCTACCTGTCTGTGTTCATTCTGGAAAACAGGTAACTGGAGAAAGAGAAGCTGTCTCTGCTTGGTCTTGGATGCCTCAGACACTTCGTTACTTAGGCAATATTGAAAGGTTACCTTTGCTGTCAATATTTATTTTTACTACTATAGTATCTGGGAACTTGAGCCAAGACGTTGTGATCACGAGGACTGAAACAAACCCTGCATTAAAGAGTTGGCAGTCTGTGAGCGGCTCTGTGAGCGGCTCTGTGGGAGGGTGGTGCCTTCTGCAGTGTCACAGCAGATCCGTGACAAAGCAGTGAGTGGCTTCCAGTTATCTGTACGTGCACAACCCTCTTCTCTTGGCCACAGTGCCTCATGGTTTCTTTTAATTTATCTTAATGCTGTTATCAGGGCAGCGGTAGTTTATTTTTGATTACGCCTTCCTCTAAGTAATACCGATGTTAATGTTGAAATTAGCGTTGTCAGGAATCAGTGAAGTGCAGCCCATCCTTCTGTGGGATGTCTGTGTCTCTTCTAAACTAAACAGAGTATCTGCTCTCCGTACTTTGGGACCGGATTTGGCGTGGGGTGTTCAATCTGTGGCCCACAACCCACACACACCTCAGCGGGACAAGTCACCCAGCTGCTCTCTTTAAAGCCTTTACTTAGGCTGTGCCCGTCGGTTGAATCTCCCGGGTAACAGGCTCTTTTCAACTGCCTGCCCTGCCGTGGGGCCGGGGAAAGGCATCGCAGCGTGCTGATGCTCTGCAGCGCTGGGGCGATACGCTCGGTGCTTCCCGCGGACGCTGAGCCCGTTCCCAACGTCCAGCCCAGAGCGTGGGCACGCGCTTAAGGGACGTGGCCACTGAAAGCCTCTGGGAGCTGCCAGCGTTGCTGTCCGCGCTGCGGGGAGAGTCAAGGCTGCCGAGCCTCTGCCCTGTAGCTTGGGTGCTCTTAGATGAGATCTTCGGCCGCGCAAAGTCCAAGGTTAAACTTGGTCCATGAAATTAAAGGAAGTTACAGGCTGAATGTGGACACAGAGCTGGGGGAGAAAATGAACAGTAAGGTAGAAAGCTGGGTTTGCTCTTTTAACTTCATTTATATTGGTACTGGTTGTTTGAACTGGTATACAGCATCGAGAACCAAGGAATACGGTGGAGACAGCCAGCTGAGATTAGTCACGTGCATGTTAGATGGGACTGCTACAAGAAATTTGGATGACACCGAACATAAAAAGATGTCATAATGCATAATATTTAGAGGATAATACCTAATTTATACCTTATCAGAAATTAAGTTACAATGAAAGAAAACTATTTATAAAATAATCAATGTTGTGCTGTTTGACACCGACCCTCAAAGCTGTCGGAGTTGAACGTGTTCTGGTATATGGAACCTTGTGTCTCTTGAACAAATTTTTGTGTAGTTACGACATCAGGATTTTTGGTCCTTTTGTGCAGGTCTAAAGGTAGAAGTGACTCACTGTGGAACGATGAGAAGGAAATACCGCGTTTGTAACGTAACCAGAAGGCCTGCAAGTCATCAAACGTAAGATGGTTTTTGTTAGAGCATTGAATGAGTGATAGCTTTACGCTCACTGTGTGAAGGACCTAGGACTTTATTAATTTTGGGGGTGTTGATACTTGCCAACTAAGATTTCTGTACATTCTATTGAAATGTATGTCTTTTTAGCTTTCCTTTACAGTTAGAAAATGGCCAGACTGTGGAGAGGACAGTAGCACAGTATTTCAGAGAGAAATACAACCTCCAGCTGAAATACCCTCACCTTCCTTGCCTACAAGTGGGACAAGAACAGAAACACACCTACCTGCCTTTAGAAGTAAGGACCTTGTTCCGATATATCAGCTTGTTACTGGTAGGCTGTATCGTTCTGCGGAACGTTAAGTAGTGCGCCCTGCGCTACCAGCGTGTTTACGCGTTCATACGGTTTTCTTTCACTAAAGACTGTCTGCATTTTAAATGTTCAAGCTGCTTTAAAGTTTAAAACTGTGAGAAAGAACGTGCAGTTAGTGACACACGTTGGGCGTGTGTTTTGTAACGATAGCACTACGGTACGTGGGGATCTGTTTGTAAGTGCTCCTGTACGTACGGTACGTGGGGATCTGTTTGTAAGTGCTCCTGTACGTACGGTACGTTGGGGACTGTTTGTAAGTGCTCCTGTAGCGTATCGGCGCCTCTGATTTTTCCCTTAAGGTCTGTAACATCGTGGCTGGCCAGCGGTGTATCAAGAAGCTGACGGACAATCAGACATCGACCATGATAAAGGCCACAGCGAGATCTGCTCCAGATAGGCAAGAGGAAATAAGCAGATTGGTTAGTGCTTTAATTTCCGTTTGGTGTGATACTACTCGCTCAATGACGCCGGACTAGATTACGTTAATGCAAAACCTTCTCGTACGACCATCCCAGCGTTTTCATTCCTTCCTTCCTCACTTAATAGCTTTTAACTATTTTTTTTTAATTGGGATTTATTCTTTTTATTGGATATTATTTTTTTTGAATGGGATTTATTTGCAACAGTAGCATGAGTCCAGCAGCGTGGGCTCTTGTGTTATAATCTGTACAATTAATTTCAAGTAGGTACAGGAACTACTCAGGACTAACACTTCAGTGTTTTGCTGTATTGGGCCCTCAGGGTTTTTAAACAAATTTGTGAAATGGGCTTAGGTTTTAAGACACAAGTAAGATTTTGTTCTAGGTACTTTCCCTTGATTCCTGTTGATGTTCGAACATCATACTTTTCTTGTTATTATAGGATGCTTATATTTGTAGCGGTGCTAAATAATTTTAAAATCACGAGCTAGACTCTGAAGACTTAGGTCTTGAGAATTTCCCATTTTTTTTCTGTTAGTAGCTTGAGGGTGGGTGGTAGCATCGCTCGATTTAATAGGCACTGAAAACAAACTGGAGCAACTTACTTGTCCAGACTCAAACAAGAATCCGTAACGGGGTAGAAGAGTGATTCTGGGTCTCCTGAATCTTGCATGTGAAATGTTTGACTGATTTCTTTAGTACACACTAAATGTTTTCACCTGATAACTCCCAATTTTCTTTTTCTTGGCGCTGAATCCAGACACTCTAAGCATCAGTGGTTTTTCTGACTTGAAATATTATAAAACTTTAATATTTCTAGTTGGATACTCTTATAAACAGATAGCTCTTATTTGAAACAGTCTGGGTTTTGAGCTGACAGCCAGAATTTTTCAATTAAAGTAAGGCTGTTCTGGAAGATAAACAAGACACGATTGTGCAGTATCAAAATGAATTAATTTGTTTAGTCTTGGGTTTGCTGGTCTCTAAAAGAGAATGCTTTTTGATCTATCTTGTGAGTAAACAAAATGCTTTTGGATAAGCATGCTACAAATGAGCACTTGAGTAACTAAGGGAACAGAAAGAAACCTTACCCGATGTATCTCGTGGTATTAATTGTTCTCACTGGGGATGGGTTGATAGCGTTGAGCTGAGCCTTTGTCAGTGACAGGCACAGTAGTTGTAGAAGGCTTCTGCAGCGTTCCTCTTAGTCTTTTGTATGTTACATGAATTATAGTAGAGATTTCCGTAACATGGAAAAAACTCGTCTTCTAGGTGAGAAGTGCAAATTATGATGCAGATCCATTTGTTCAAGAGTTCCAGTTCAAAGTCCGGGATGAGATGGCCCATGTGACGGGGCGCGTGCTCCCAGCCCCGATGCTGCAGTACGGAGGACGGGTGAGGTTTTTTGCTTTTGTTTCACAGAGTGATTTCCCAGGCACGTTGACTGTTTTAGTCAGTTCGGTTGCGTTGCGCAATACAGGGATCAGAGTTTGAATGGTAAAACTTTTTTTTTGTTAGCCTGAAACTGGATCACTTGAATATCTGTTGCTTTTGTTTCCACAGAACCGGACGGTGGCAACCCCAAGCCATGGGGTATGGGACATGCGAGGGAAGCAGTTTCACACTGGTGTTGAGATCAAAATGTGGGCTATAGCTTGCTTTGCAACACAGAGACAATGCAGAGAAGAAATACTGAAGTAAGGCATGTCATGGTTCAGGCTTTGGACTGTTCTCTTAACGAAGCCATCTTAGTGAAAACATGAGTGTGGGACTTCTAACGAGCGTTTCACCTGGTTTTAATCCCCCGAGATGTTAGGCACAGGATCCAAGCTGTTGCTGGAAGCTGCAGTCAGAATGCTGTCCCTGGGCTCACCGTGGGGTTCTGGTCCTGTGTCATTGCTGGTTCCTTCTAGCATCTTCAACGAAGTACTAAAGATGCTTAAACTTTTTTTTCCCCCCCATTCTGGCCTGTGGTGCTTCAAAGCTGTGCAGCCTCCACGCAATGAACGGTTTTAAAATCCTGCTTTAAAAGCCATTTGGAATCGCCACGCAATGAACGGTTTTAAAATCCTGCTTTAAAAGCCATTTGGAATCGCCTTCATTTGCGTAACGCAGTTCTTCTGTCCCCTTCTGCTTTGGTGGCTGTGTGCTGTGCTGCTGCAACAATTCAAAAAAAACTTCTTCTCTTCAGGGGTTTCACGGACCAGCTGCGCAAGATCTCCAAAGACGCGGGGATGCCGATCCAGGGGCAGCCCTGTTTCTGTAAATACGCCCAGGGTGCAGACAGCGTGGAGCCCATGTTTCGACACCTCAAGAACACCTATTCGGGGCTTCAGCTCATCATCGTCATCCTGCCAGGGAAGACACCGGTGTACGGTAAGGGAATACCTCTGTCTTTACCTGTTTGGTTGGGTGTTATTCTGAGACATTTGCTGCCTGGCATATGTTAGAAAATACTTCAGGACCAGATTTCAGATATTAGAAACCAATGTTTTGTGTCTGAAGATAAAATGACTTGGAAGCAGATCTGAGCATGCAGATAAGTTGGAAGTTATTTTGTAGAGGATGCACACTTAAATTATTGTGACTCAAGCTAAGGTCAAAACAGCAATAATTCGAAATGGACTCAAATTGTACCTTAATATTTGCTTCTCAGCGGAGGTGAAGCGTGTGGGAGATACACTGCTGGGCATGGCCACGCAGTGTGTTCAAGTCAAGAACGTCATTAAAACATCTCCACAGACCCTATCAAATCTGTGCCTGAAGATTAATGTTAAACTAGGAGGAATCAACAATATCCTTGTACCTCACCAACGGTAAGACTCTTTGTGGAGACTCATTTGGGGTTTGTTTTAACAGATGTGGTTACGCTTGCTACTTAGCACCCAAAATGTAAACGTGGCCGAGTTTTAGGATGATATATTCTTCTGGCAATAGTATGTGGTATTTGAGGTAGAATTAAATTTCTTCTAGCGTGGGCTCTGAGTGGTTGTTGGCCCGTGAGTTAGGTCTTAAGCCAAGGTTCTTTTCAGATGTCTGATCAGTATCAAAAATTTGAAGAGAAACTACACATCTAGAGATGTCGAAATAGAAAAGGTCTTGCAGAATTAAGAACGTACAACATCACAGTGTAACTGTTGGACGTACCGATGTGCTGCTAATAAGGGGCATTCGGTGAGAAGGTTTCAAGTGAGAAGGTTCAGCCCATGTGTGCTCCCCTTGTGCTCACATGGATTCATTCTGGAGAAGCACAAGTCTTTTGGTCCTGAAAACTAGAAATTTGGATTGACTCTAACCTTTCCTCGAGTATATCTGTTCTTTGAGTGGAAGCAAGCCAGAAAAACCTCTGGGGTGCAAGTCTTAAGAATTCTTTCCTAAGACTTCCTGAGAGCTTGGAATCAAAGTTTAAATGTGAAACAGTGGTGCGTGAAAGAATATTTTAAAGGCCCTGGGAGACCATCCTGCTGCTTAGCTCCTGTAAGCCGGAAGGATGTGTGTGCTGGCCCAGCCAGCCGTTTGTTGCAGTACCGGAGCACGAGCGTATCCGTCCTGGGGAACGGCAGTGTCTCTGAGCAGCTCTCTGCACCGTTCAGGGCCAGCTCTGTGGCTCTTCTCCGCTAGAACCATGCCACAATTCAATGGCGGGGTATTTTGGAATGACTGCTGTGGTGGTTTCGAAGTTCACGTCTCGTGCACGAAGCTTTCCTTGGTTAGGTTTGGCCAGATACCTGATGATAAGGCTTCTCTGGGCAGTTTAGCTGGAATAGAAACAAAACCCCAGACTGAGCGATAACCTTGCGCCAACTGTTCATCTACAAGTGTGACTTAGCGCTTTTTTCTTTTTGAAGACCTTCTGTGTTCCAGCAGCCAGTGATCTTTTTGGGAGCTGATGTCACTCACCCTCCTGCTGGAGATGGAAAGAAGCCTTCCATAGCTGCTGTAAGTTTTATTAAATTAGTGTTATTTTTTCACCTTCGGTGAATGTTAGAATAGTAAATGCAACTCATGGACTATGTCAGATCTTTCAGGGTTTATGCTGGTTCTCTGTACACATTTCTGATACTCTTAAAAATCATGTCTTAAAAAAAAAAAAGCCACTACTTGATACTTCAGACTGTTTACTTAGCTTTTTAATTTTTAAATCAAGGTAGAATGGCAGTCATGTTAAATAGTATATTTCTGCAAAAATACTCTAAAGGAAATAAAGCAGCTTTGTGATGTTAGTTAATAACAATTGCTCTTATGAGACTCCCCCCCTGCAGGGCTGGGTCCAGCTCTGGGGCACCAACAGCAGAAGGACATGGACCTGCTGTAGCGGGGCCAGAGGAGCCACGGAGATGCTGGGGGGGCTGGAGCCCCCCTGTGAGGACAGGCTGGGAGAGTTGGGGGGTTCAGCTGGAGAAGAGAAGCTCCGGGGAGACCTTAGAGGGGCTCCCCAGGGCTGAAAGGGGCTGCAGGAAAGAGCGGGGGGGGGGATAGGATGAGGGGGAATGGTTTTAAACTGACAGAGGGGAGATTTAGGTGAGGTCTAAGGCAGAAATTCTCCCCTGGGAGGGGGTGAGGCCCTGGCACAGGCTGCCCAGAGCAGCTGTGGCTGCCCCCTCCCTGGGAGGGTTCAAGGCCAGGTTGGACGGGGCTTTGGGCAGCCTGGGCTGGTGGAAGGTGGCCCTGCCCGGGGCAGGGGGTGGCACTGCATGGGCTTTAAGGTCCTTTCCAACCTAAACCAGTCTATGATTCTAAGATTTTTGTATTTTTAAAGGAGAAAAATGTAATCAAAGGCCTGGTTTGACAGGAATGTTTTTGATACTTCTTACCTTTTTGTGGTGGTACAGCCCAGGAGGTGAAGGTGCTGGTTGGATGCTTGGTCAGTCCCTTCCTATTTTGTCCCCTTGATATTTTACTTGGCATTGGTTGGAGTTACGGAAACTGCGTCACTGCTTAAAGGAACTAGGGCAAACTGAAGTGTTTCTCTGTGTAAAACGTGAGAAAATGTCAAAGACAAAAAGTCTGTCTGGATTATAAGAATACGCGTTGGTGTGCTGTCAACAGAGGGGAGGACTCCAGGGCAGATGAATTCTGCAGATGCGTTTTGGGGCGATTGGAGGGCAAGTTTTATACCTCTTTTTTAAAGGTCTTAAACCTGTACCTACGACAAGTTCCAGTTTAAAATGTTTCTGTGGTGGTTGTTTTAATGTAATCATCGTTACCTGAACCTTTACTCTTTTAATTTCTTTTGATAATAGATCTGGTCTTGAAGCCTTTACTCATGTAATCTCCCCCTGAAGGTTGTAGGTAGTATGGATGCTCATCCAAGCCGGTACTGTGCCACGGTGAGAGTTCAGCGACCCCGGCAGGAAATCATCCAAGATCTGGCCTCCATGGTGAGGGAGCTGCTCATCCAGTTCTACAAGTCCACACGGTTCAAGCCCACACGTATCATCTTCTATAGGGACGGGGTCTCTGAAGGACAGTTTCGACAGGTTGGTTCATCTCTGGGTTTCTTGAAGGACTGTGTTAGCACATAACTCCAGTTCTCCGTTTGAATAGCTGCAGTGTTTGAGTTTTTTTCCATTTACACAATGTTACCCCAAAGTAGTTGAGACTTTTAAGGAGAGAATTTGTTAAGCATGTTGGGTAAGAAAAGTTGCAACTTCTTTCCCGTCTGGTAAGGAGAGGTCTTAGAACTTGGGAAACAGTATATTTTTAACAACTTCCTAAGGTTACTGATTGTGTGGCGAAACTGCTCTTAGTGTTAACTACAGACCATTTATTAGGTGTTGTGTGTAGAATACAGTGTAAGCAAAACCTAAACTATTCTGTTCTTGTGCTTGTAGGTTTTGTATTATGAACTGCTAGCCATTAGAGAAGCCTGCATCAGTTTGGAGAAGGATTACCAGCCTGGAATAACCTATATCGTGGTGCAGAAGCGACATCATACACGATTGTTCTGTGCTGACAGAACAGAAAGGGTAATCACTGCCCCCTCTTAGAGTAGCTTTATGTGAGAAGCTTGATGTCAAACACGCTGCTGGAGAAAATATTAGCACGGGGCTTCTTTGTCAATCTGATTGTCTTTGCATTCAGGGAAGAGGTTGAATTGACAAGTAAAAATGTGGCCCCAAATTGAAAAATCGTTCACCTTAAGTATGTTTAAAAAAAAAATAAATCCCCATCAGACTTTATCATGTGGCACCTTGCTACTAGTCTTTGTCAGTGAACAGCAGTTAATATTCATGTAACTAACTAGGACCAAGTCTACAGGAGAAAATATGATGGAACCTTTAACTTCTCTGTTCTTCTGAGTCGATCCAAACTCGAGGTGACATTCCTGAATACCGGTGTGTGCACAGCTCTGCTGTCCTGAGATCAGAAGTTCGGGTGCAGGGGGTGGAGTGTTCTGTGAGAGGTCTGTGTCCTGGTCCAACGTCCCAGGCTGCTGTGCTGACACGTTCCAGACGCTGCTGAGGCCGCTCATCCGCTGGAACCTCGTGCGTGTGGAAGAGAAACTTGTATTTTTCGGTACAGCTGAGATGTATAAACAGTTGTTAGCTGCACTTTCTAACAAAACCTTTTTGCTAGGTTGGACGAAGTGGCAATATTCCAGCTGGAACAACTGTAGATACAGACATTACACATCCATATGAGTTTGATTTTTACCTCTGTAGCCACGCTGGAATACAGGTACGATTGTTTCTTTGTAAGTAGATGGGAATTTAGAATATGTTGGGTTTCTCCCTTTGTGACCCCTGTGTTTACAACCAGGTATTTACTAGGGAAATGTCATTTAGCTCAGTTTGATCCGAGATAGCACATTATTGTGGGACTAATAGTGTTATTTAAGAGGTGTCTCTGCTACACCTTTAAAACCGAAAACTCCGGAGAGTTCCCAAGAGCTGTACTCCGTGTTACGTTCAAGTACTGATGGTGAGAGGTGTATCTGGGGGGAACCTTGACACCAGTGACTTGTACAAATCTGATTCACCATAAAGCCAAAGAGCAGTGCAAGTCCTGAACCTGTAGGAAGGACGACACTGTATGGAAGTAAGGAAGTGTATGTGTTTGTGTAGAACTCTCTAGTTGACTTCTGAAATACTGGAGCCATTTCTAGTTAATACTTGAAGTTAGGATGCTAAGGAATTGGATTTCTCTGGGAAATGTGTCTTGGTGAGACACAGTTTTAACTGAGGGTAGTTAAGAGGTGGTGTAATCATGATTTAGTCATGCCGGGAGCAGGTTTTGATCATTGAGGGTTATCTAGAAGGCATGTGGGTTTTTTTCCAAGCAAGAATAATTAGAGTAACATAATCATGTAAATGTTAGACTTATTCATCTTTAAACATATTTAGGGCTGACATAAGACCGAATTTTTGGCTGCTGTTATGTAGGAGTTCAGACTAGATAGTCTGGCCCTTTCTGAACTTAAAAATCTGACTCAATTGTATGGAAAAGCTGGATAAGTGAATCGATGTTCCCTTCTTCTTAGGGTACCAGCCGTCCCTCACACTATCATGTTTTGTGGGATGATAACTGTTTTACTGCAGATGAACTTCAGCTGCTGACTTACCAGCTCTGCCACACATACGTGCGCTGTACACGATCGGTTTCTATACCTGCACCAGCCTATTATGCTCATCTGGTAGCATTCAGAGCACGATACCATCTTGTGGACAAAGAACATGACAGGTAAATGAAAATGTGGGCTTAAGTTTTTTGTCTCCATTGGTCTTTGCTCCATTGTCAGGCATAAAACATCTGACTGCAGGTAATTACTGCCTGGTTTGCAGTTAATTTTTGTTACCTCTGGGACTAGTCTTAAGAGAATCATTGCTGACAGCTGCAGCTCGGTATCAGACAAGAGTGGGTTGGTGGATTTTACTGACTAACACTCAGATTAAAAGAATTAAGTTTAATTTAATGAAGTATTCGGTTATTAACTTTGACGTGGTCTGAGGGAATCAAGCCACACGTTTAGTTTTTCGCTTTAAAATTAGAGTAGTCACGAAGGAAGCAAATGTTAAGTGCCTTCCACTTACCTAACTCTGCTGTGTACGTCAGAAGTGTTTTATAACCTTTGGGCCATCAATATGTTTGCAACGGGCTTATTTTTAGACGAACGAACTGAGCAGCCGAGGTAAAGGGGTTTGTCAGAAGCCTTGAGGTTGCCAAGTGAATAGACAAGTAGATTCTTCTCGGCGTCCGGTTCTGTTCCTCTTGCCCCGTGGCTCTCCCGAACGTTGCGGAGATGTGGCTTTTTGACCTGACGAGCCCCGCTTGTGTCTTTCTCGTTCCCTTGCAGTGCTGAAGGAAGCCACGTGTCGGGACAGAGCAACGGCAGAGATCCGCAGGCCCTCGCGAAGGCTGTACAAATTCACCAAGACACCTTACGCACGATGTACTTCGCTTAAGTCAATAAGGTGGAAGCATACTCGCTGAAAGGAAGAACTGCGAAATGAATCCACATACAATGTATGTTTCCAGTGGGGTTGGTTTAGGGGGTGAGCCTCCGATCGTGCTGAAGTTGACACTGTGCAGGGGCGAGAGGCTAACCCTTAAATTGACACCAGGAAGATTGTTTACTTCATCGAGGAACACAGCACTATTATGCAATATGAAACCAGCCAACTGCTTTTGTGGCACGGAAGCACCGCCATCATTATTTTTTTTTTTTTTTTTTTTTTTTTTTTTTTTTTTTTTTTTTTT